TTTTTTTTTTTTTTTTTTTTAAGGCAGAGAGATTCCTTAAAGGTGTTTAAGCAAAGGAGAGATATTTTAATGGGTAGATTGGGGGGGGGGGGGGTACTTTAGTAATATACCCAGGTAAAACATGCTCAGTGATTAGCTATGGCACAAAGAGACAGTAGTTTACCAAGGGAAGAGGAGCTTGGGAAGGAGAGTTAGAATAAGAATCCAATAAGAAGTTCAAGAGATTTCTAGATCTAGAACACCAGGGTTCAAAATAATTCAACGAATTCAATTGATTCAATTTCATTTTCTTAATTAAATCACTTAATGACAGTGAGCATCAGTTAAGGTTCAGTATTCCAGAAAATTTTATGAATAATCCCATCTAATTTTAGGATATACTCTATCCAGAATAAAAATGATGCAGCCTAGTGCTATAAAGGAAAATCTTTAGTATGTAATAATTTTAAAATAACAGTGCCATCCATTCAAATAGAACTTGTCTCTAAGCACGTTAAATATTAAAGCAAAGCCATGTTTTCTGTAGCATGCAGAGAGGCAAAATAATAAGCCATGTTTTTTCCCATCTGGGACTTAGCCAACTGCATAAATGGAGGGACTGCTTTTTGTTTCTGCAAGTTCCTACTACCTAAGTACTTAACTGCTTAACTACTTAACAGTTTAAGTTGGTTAATGGGTAATGAGAAGAAAGCCATATATGGATTTTTGAGTGGGTGTTGATGCCCCTAACTCCTGCGCTGTTCAGAGGTTGACTGTAGGTTTTTTTCATACATATTTTCTATTTTTTCCTAAAATAAAAATTTCCCAGTGTTTTGAATTTAATTTAGTAACATAAGAAAGAAGGAAAACAGAAAAGAGAAGAAAAGAAAAAAATGCTATTTTTCTGTGAAAATGGAGCAAGGAAACCTTGCTATCTTTAAATAATTTTTGATCAGACCAAAAAGCATTTTCCCTTTTATCTAAATCACTGAAATCTGCTCTCTTACATTCTCTTAATCTTGCTGTCATAAAGAATGCACTCGACATATTTAAAAACAAATAATTTCCTTCATTCTTCTGAAGATATTTTCATGGGCTTGACTAGTGGCTTTTGAAAGGTAAGTTAAGATGTTTTCATGCTGCTGGGCCCAAAGCATTTTATACTTGGAAATGCCCTATCTTTAGTCTCTAATTACATTAAATTTCTATGTCTGACTCATGGGGAAAGGAAGCTTCAAAGCAGAAAAGGGAAAATCCAATTTCTCTCTAAACGCAATAACCATTGATATACTTCAGACGATGTGCCAACTATGTTCCAAGGTTTCCAAGTGACCTACCCAGAAGAATTAAGAGTTCAAGGATGTGCTAGTTAAAAATAAAAGTTTTTATTTATTCTGGATCTTTCTATAAGAAGATTTAATCAATGTGTTGAAATTGGGTAATCTTTACAATATGTCTCTGAGAGGGATAAAGGGAGAAGACAATTACTGTTATTTTTTTCCATCCAGCCAATATTTATTGAATGCTTTGTTTATGACTCTGAACTTAATGTTTCAGTTATTGTTTTTCCACTCTTTAGAAGACTTTTTTTCATAGATTTTATTTCAACAGCTATAGACAGAAAAGTTGGATAGGAATAAAAGTAAAATAAGCAAAAATAGAGTTCATCTCTGGGTTCCGGTCCTCTAGTCCTCTCGTAGTCAATTATATGAAATTTGTAATTCATTCTTTTTTACGTGTGTGTGTGTGTGTGTGTGTGTGTGTGTGTGTGTGTATTCACCCCTCCTCTTGTACACTGGTAGTCAATTCTGTGTGTGTCTTCTTGGTCCCTCACAATATGTAATGTTTTGTTTTCTTCATCTCTTGTCTTTCCCAGGTAAAATGTCCAGTGATCGAGCTTTGAGGAAGCAGCAGCAATTAAACAACCTTGTTTATGTGGTGACAAATCAGGCCAAACCTGGTGACAGAATTGTGGATTTCTGCAGTGGTGGGGTATGATATCTCTCCTTTTAGCCTTTTTAGCCTTTCCAAGACTATGTGATTTTTCAGTATTACATTCATAATGTTTTTATTTGGCAAGATTGTTGTCTCAGAGTGAGTAAAAGCCATGGGGACCAAAGTTAACTTGTTTCTTTTGCTGACTTGCAGGGCCATGTTGGAATTGTCCTTGCTCATATGCTGCCATTATGCCAGGTAAAGTCTGAATAATAGAAAAAAGGAAACATTGAAAAACTACAGAACTCAGCTAGCCAAGTCTGGCTTATCCTTGTTCTTTGAGTATTTAATTATTCACTCAAGTCAAATATGTGGCACAAGTATTTTCTTTTATCTTTGAAGTAAACTTTTAAAATTCAGAATCTTAAGAAGAAAAAAAAGTAAAGTATGATCACAATACAGTTATCAATTTTTAAAAAAGGTTTATATGTTTAAATAATTTTTAAAAGAAATAACTTTTATCATTAAATAATATAATTATGACTCAACTGGTTTAATTTTCAGCATAATTTAAACTAGAAGTATTAGCTTCTGAAACTTGCTAAGCATGTTCTTTTGGTATCCTGATTTTAAGCCATTGCATCAAAATTGTAACAACAATAACAAAATTTTTTAAAGAAGAAAAAAATAAACCCAAACCCTACCATACTGATCCATTAAATGTTTTTTCCCTTCGTCATTAAGTCATCATCCAAATGGATGTTTACTGTTACAATTCTAAAAATACAGATATTATTTTAGTCCTGTGCTTTCAGGACTCAATATTGTATCATAAATGTTTCTTCCTATTGCTAATAGTTTTACATATCATCATTTTTTAGTGAATATATAATATCTTTTTACATAAATGTATCATAATTGATTCAGTTGTTATCAATATTTGGTTAGAATTTTGTGCTGTTTTTAGTCTTCTGCCATATTAAATCCATTCCTCATAGTGCCATCTTTAAACATAAAGGTTGGAGGGGGGGAGTCATTCTTTTTTTTTTTTTTTTTAATACTAATTCAACTGGGACACAGTCTTTGCTCTCTGGAAGGTGCGAACTAATTACAGTGAGTACTTCCAGAAGAAAAAAAATGTGGAAGAACTGATGGACTGGCCAGAATGACATGTAACAGAATAATAGGGGGAAGAGAAGGTTGCTTTTTTACTTTTCTTAGAGAATAAAGAGCAAAATAAATAAGGAATCCTGGGAGAAGAGGCAGGTGTCTCTTTTATTTTTAAGAAAAGCAATAATTTTATGATTGAGTAAGAGGAAGAAAGTTCATAGAGTAGAATCCTGGGGAAGGAGAGTCAGGGATATAGTATCTTTTTTCCCTTCCTAATAGTTCTCCTAGAAGCACAGATAGGTTGAAAGTGGAAAAGGTAAATCTTGGCTACAATAAAGGCTGGAAAGCCTTTGACATCAAGTGTACTTTAACATCTTTTTTATACAAAGGGATCCAGGATTTTCCCATAAGGATAAGAATAAGGATAAAATAAAAACTAGGAATGATAACTGGTGAAAGTGACTTAATTGCACCCACTTTTCTCCATCTAAACCATCTTCTCCGCCTGGATTACTGTTAGAGGCTCCTAACTGGCTTCCCTGACTTCTGCCTCACCCCCACTAATCCATACTATACATTGCAGCTTGGGTGAACCTTCTTTTACCATAAATGCATGATCTGGCTCCTATTTACCTCTCCAACCTCATTTCCACCCTCTACATCCTGTCTGCCTGTCCCCACTATCACCATCACACACACTGTGCCCCAGTCAAACCAATTTTCTCAGTTCTTCAAACACACCACACTCTTTCTCACCTTGGGCCTTCTGAAGTGTTCCTCTGTCTATCTGAAACAATCTTCCATTCCCCCAGCTAATTTCTATTTATTGTTCAGGCCGCAGTTAATGTTACTTCTCATGAAAACCTTTTTTAGTCATTAAGTCTGGGTGCTCCAATTACACATTGTCTTTCATTAAACACTGGTCACACACACAGTATTGTTATTGCCTCTTTCACTTATATTTATATGAGAATATGTCAAAAAGTTCATTGAAAAATAGAATTAAAAGATAATATTGCTTTTTCCATGAACTTTTTGAAGACCCCTCATACTGTTCAAGGGCCTTGTTCATTTTTCACTTTTGTATCAGGTTATCTGACATACTTCCTAGGATAGAGAATAAATATTATGTATTGTACTTTATTAAAACTACAAAATACAGTAGTAATACTTTACCCTAATTTGTGAATTATGTTACTGAATATACTATTTTTTCCTGGGTGTTATCTAGGTTACATTAATAGAAAATAAGGAATTATCATTAATTCGTGCTAAGAAGAGAAGTGATGAACTAGGTTTAAGCAACATTTGGTTCATTCAAGCAAATATGGAGTATTTTACAGGGATGTTTAATATTGGGGTAAGTAATTAAGCAATTTCAATTTCTTTAATTAGCTAAATAAGAAAAATTATATGCCTTAAAGGAGATAATTTTTTATTCTTTGCTAAACAAAGAAATCTATAATTTTTTATACTGTCTATAAAGTATAGCATGTTAGTGAGTACTTTATTCATAGCACTTAATCATTACATGATAGAGATAATATTTGCTTCTCCATCAGATAAAAATTTATTTTCTTCACTACAAGATCCCCAGTGCTTAGAACAATATTTGGCACATATCAAGTGCCTAAAAATAGTTAATCATTGAATGAATGAATTCTAATAAAGATGACTTGCCTTTGTTTACTCTGTAATTTTAGAAGACAATGGAAAAGAAAAAGAGGATAAAAAAAGAAAAGAAAAATAGCTTATTAGAACCTCTAAATATGAGTTGCCTTTAGATAATATTTTCTTTAGCTGAGATTTGTTATTTACATGTATTATTAGCTTCCAAGAGACAGTGTATTGGTCATGTTTCTAAACCCTTAGATCAAATTGTTATTATTTGATATTACTAAGACCCAAGATATGTGATTCTGCCAGATCATTTAAACCTAAGATTCTATGCTTTCTGGTGGAATTTAAGGTGTTAGTATTGTTGCTATTCCTTGTATTAGATTTAAACATTTTTTTTTCTGATTTTGATGAGTATATGCTCAGTATAGAAAAATATATAATAATATAAAAAGAAATCACCTGAATGTCTACTGTCAAGAGATAAGTACTGTCAAAAACCTTGGTCTTCATGTTTACACATGTTAACTTTGTTGAGACCATACTACACAGATCCTACATTAACTGAACATTGTCATAATCTTTTTCCTAGTTAATAATCATGTTTCTTTTTTTCTTGTTGTTATAATGTAATTGTTACTATGATAGATACTTTATACATCACTTCAGAATTTTGTTACATACGCCAAATTACTTTCCAGGAAAGTTTCACTAACATTTCCAACTGTCTATGTTCACATAAGAATGGGCTTGTCTAGGTGAAACTTTTTTTATCCAACTTCAGAAGCTCAGACCTTTTGTTGTACTTCTGATTGTTGTTCAGTTAAGTTTATTTCTTAAATATCGATGGCTGCAAATTTTGGGGGGTTACCGTTATTTTTCTTCAGCCTAAAGAGTGTACAATTTGTTCCCTTTGTAGAATGATCTAGAATGGTTGTCTCAGCCAAGCCTATACAAACAGAAGTAAACTGTTATTAAGAAAGCTGTTAATAAGGTAACTGTTAATAAGGAAATTGAGGAAAATGTAGACATCTGATCCAGAAATTTAAATTAAAAATATATCTATGTGTGGCTTTAATTTTACATCAATGTTGAGGTAAAGCTTAGAGCTTCTCCCATGAAACAAGCCATTAAGCCAGTCTCCATGTTACCAGTATACCAGGCAGAATGTTTAAGGCAGCAAGATAGTTACTGCCCATTTACTCACCTCTCAAAACAAAATTCACAGCCTGTCAGCCATATGTGTTTGCCCTTCATGGCTTATAGGTGCTAAATCACTCTAGCATATTCTTGAATCATCCAGGTTCATAATTCACTAACACCAACTAAAAATGGATGTCCTTTTGGAAGCGATATTTTTTTATATATATTTCCTAATTATACATACATAGTGGCTTTTTCCCTTCCATAATTACCTTTGTCAAGGTATGTAGAAAATGAACTACAATTACTTAGAAGTTTAAACCAAAATTAGATTCATTCTCAAGAAAATAATTTGCCTCGGAGAGTAATTGAGGTATTTATGTAGGTATTTAGTAATGAGGTAATTAGATACATCAGACTAAGTGCATCAGTGGCTCTAAGTCTTGTGTTTATATATAGAGTCCAGTAAAAATAGTATGACTAGAGAGGAAATCAGAATAACAGGTATCGGAAATGCATTAAAACTGCGTTAATCCATGTTTTTTAGATATTTCAATAAGAGTTTAGTTAGCATTTGTCTTTGCTTAATAAGTGCTTTTTACTACTACTGTTTTTCTTTAAATATAAAAATGAATGAGGTAAACGAGATTATAAGGAGAGAATTTTAAAGTCTTAGAACCAACTATTTTTTTGAATTCTAAACAAATTAATTTATATATAAGAATCAAAAAACTAATTGTCATCTCCATTAATCCAACAACCTGTATCAGAGAAAAATTAATAGATTTACTAAATTTGATAACCTAGTCTGATTTGAAATAAAGAAAGGTAATGAATGTAAATATTTGCAGATTTTTCTTTCATCAAGGTCTTCCAACACCCCCTTGTACTGTATGTACCTCCCTAATTTAAGTTTCTGATTTACATTGTGTTTATCTGAGAATTATATTTCTTTAGAAATACAAATGCCTAAAAAGCATACAAAAACATTCAAAGTGTCTAGTAATTAAACATATTTTGATTTAAGCAGCAATGATACTCCATTCTTGCTCTTGAAATTTGCAAAGTTTTAAAAAATATTATTACTCATTGGCTGAAGGCTTCAGTGAGATGAGTTTACTCATGCAGGAGCTTTAACAGCATACATGATATTTGCAATGCTTTGTTAATAATACAGAAAATTAGTTATATGGTAAATGAAATAAAATTGTGTAAGCATAATGATTGAGAGCATGGATTTTAACATTGGGCAACCTTGTGCTGAAGTCCCATTTTGGCACTTACTAGCTGTGTGGCATTGGGCAACTTACTTGGCTGATAGAATGTTGATAAAATTTATGTGAAGAATTTAGCTGGTTGCCTGGCATTTAGGAAGTACTCAATAAATTGAGCCTCTGTGCAGTGTGATCTCAAGCATGTAAAAACTGCATTAAAAAATGATGGGAAGAAAATATGCTAATATGTCTTTTTTTAAAGGTGGCTATATCTATATGTTGTGTAATAGTATTTTTTCTTTATTATCTTTAGTATCTTCAAAATTTCCCACATTTAACATGTTATTACTTTTATATTCATAAATATATTAGCAAAAAGATAGAAGAAATAAATATATGTTTAATATTGTATATATTGTAATAGAATCTGAACATATAAATATACGTACTTATTGGATATTTGATATATATTATTTCTTTCCAAACAAGTATTTGATTATTATAGATATACCTTTTGGTTGATTTAGTCTCATTTTAATTATAATGATTATTAATGTCCTGAGGAAAATATAAAAGTCTTTTCAAAAATGAGAAACATACAAAAAGGTTTTTAGGTTTTTTTCCCAGTTTCAGTATGTGTAGCTGCTTGCACCTGATTTGAGTATGTACTAATTGCCATACCCTTAAAGAGCAATTTACAAAAGATTATTTGTTAAGTGTATTTTTTAAAGAGGTCTATTATTGCCTTCACGTCTAGTGCAGGATAAATAATCATTATTGTGAAAATTTACTTTACAAGATTTAACTCTTTAGACCTAATTTACAATGTGTACTTATACCTCTGCTCTCAAACAATATTACAAAAACCATATTACAAGAAATATCTTAAACAGTATCACAAAATATTGTTCTCAAACAATATTACAGAAAGGCCATGACTGCAGAAAAATGCACAGTTGGCATTAAAAACAAAAACTATGTCAAGGCTAAACAACTTGTCAATCAAAATGTTTTGGTTGGATAATTCCAGTAATAATGTTCATTTCAACCAGGTGATAAGGTATTGATTTTTAACAGTATTGGTGATTATTTTCTATTTGTCAGTAAGTATCAAAATCTGAAACAGTTTTATTTTCAAGTTATTTGTATTTACTTTTTGTATTTTACCCGTAATGTAATTTTAAATATGATTGTTTATGATTTATCAGTGCTGAGTGCTTAATTACAAGCTCATTTCTAGTTATATGTGTTAGTGTACAATTAAAGGTAGCATATGCAATTATATACTATAATTTAGTAACAGTTTTGATGAGTAGTTATATAATCCTGCTTTAAAGCTTTTAAAAGATAAAGAACTTGAGAAAATATATATTCTGCAAACACAATTTTTACAAATAATTATGGCAAAATAGAGGTATTTCAACTCCCCTACTCTCCAAGAAAGATCAGATCCCCAAATAAGAACAAGAGCCAGAAAAACCAAACTCCATCTTTGATTAAACTATATTCAAAATTCTGTAATCTGAATCACAATATGAAGTATGAAGGTGGAAAGCAAATTAAAGAAAAATTGTAAATTATTGAGTAGAGAGGAGGAAGATCAAATTTAAATGCATTGTGAGGGGCCAAGAAGACTATCAGGAATCAAGTCACTTTGCTCTCACAGAATCCCAGAAAAGTTTAGGAATTCAGGTCACCAAAAACCTCAGAGGAAGGGATATAAGGAGGGGCTGAAATCTTGTTTAATTAAGAATATTATTTAGAGACCCAAATTCCCACCCCCATCTTGTGTAGATATGTAACAACCTTTCTCCAACTCCTGAAAGAAACAAGAAGTATCTTCTATGAAGAAGCAGAACCAGAGAGGCTCCAAGTATAGGGATATCAGGCATAGAGGAGGGAAGGGGTGATGTGCCATAACGAAAATAAGAACTTAATGAGAATCTGCATACTGAGTGATGGATCTCTTCACCTAATTCCAGAACCTCAGAAACCAGGATCATATCCTCAATCTACAGGATTAAAGATCTACCTCTGTAAAAGTAAAATTGTCCCCAAAGAAAAGAACTACAGATATATAACTGTAATTAAAAAGAAAAAAAGGCCAGCTGGCCACCTGATCACCCAGTCGCTAGTGAAGCTCACCAGTCTTCAAGCCTTTCCTTTTCATTCATACTTCAAAATAGTGTTTTAGTGATTCACTCTTTAATATGAACTGATAGCCAAAGGAACACCAAACATAGAAAACTTCCAAAATGGAAGATAGAGACCAAAGCAACATACATGACAAAGAATCTTACTCAGGGAGAGATCAGAGAAGATAATGCATTAATGAAATAAGGATAGAATGAAAAAGAAATGAATGGTCTGAGAAGAAGAAAGGATG